CGGGATGCCAGAAGTAAACCGCTAAAATTACCTGAGGAAATTAGTGTGAAATGAAATTTCATTAAACTGTGCGAACATATTTTGGCAAAATAAATGTTTATGTAAATTAATTAAGGATTTTGCATTTACATATGTATGCATTTTCAAAGTGTTTAATTTAGTGTTTTGTATAATTTATTAAATAAGCAATTTAATATTTTTCAGCAGTGGCATCAGTGGTAAATGTTATAAAAAATGCGAGTTTTGACAGCTCTTTCTCGAATCAAAGAGTTTCGTATCATATTATCCATGCCGTCGACACATTGACTCTGACAAAATGTGAGCTTCGCCATCATTATCAAAACTTTTAAAAGCCTGCAAATAAATATGTAGGTATATAAATATTTACATACGTATATATCTTATCAAACCTACATTAATTAAATAATTAGGTTATAATACAAATAGGATTATATTATATATTTCCAAAGATTTAAGGAATTCATCATGTTTAATTTGTACGTACATATCTATGTAAATACATGCTTTTGTTTTTTGATATAAAAAATAACATATGTATGTATGTATATAAATTATATGCAGAGTCGGTTGCGCATTGTAAATATATATGCGAATCTGCAAGCGTACATTCCTTAACATCGGAAATAGCATAAGTTCTCTGATTTAACACTGAAAATGCTCAATTCTGCAATTTTCATGCCCCTCATATTAAGTGGTGAAACACGCTAACAATTTTCTGTGGTGAAACACGCTCATCCAAAACAGTAAATATCCCAAAACTGAAATATCCCTACAGTTTTGACATCGTGAACCTTCTCTATAAAAATACGTTCTCTGATATAATCCGGTTGGGTTGCCTGGGACGGCGGCAGTTATTATTTGTGGCATGGTAGTTTCTTTGATATATTTTATAAATAGTATATCGAAAGTCGATAACATTTATACTTCTGTAGTGCTTATTTAAAGCAAGGTTTCAATCAGTCTTCTAATCGAGTTTGACGAGTGTGGTTTGTGTTTGGTGTTTTGGTATATATTTGAATTTACCTATTTGTTTTAGTTATAGTGCTTTGTGTAGATAATTGGAACTAAAATTATTCGATGAATTGATTCAGATTGCCGTTTATTGTTTACTGTTCAAATATTTTTTCTTATTCAATATATATATATAAACGAATTGGAAAAAATATTTTGAAGCTTTTAAAACATTGAGGATTATAAAGAATGTGGCAAGGATGTTAAAGTTACAATGGATTTTATTAATGCTTCCAACGATATGTTTAAAATTCATATTCTAGATTCCAATATACTGTGAGCGAAATAGAATATAACCGTATGCAGAATCAGATAAAATAGTAAAAGGAAAAACTAAGTCAAAGAACTGTACACAAATCATAGTACTTTGTTCTACGCAAAAAACCGCACAACATAACTGCCCTGCAAGCAATTGGTAGTATGAATTCGCGCCGCCATTAACGCTACCAACACAAGCGATTACGCCAGAAAAACAAGAATCGACGCAGCAACAGGCTGATAATATTCGATATGAAATAAAATAGAAGCAAAAAGACGTCGTCAACCCCAGCACTTCAGAAACGAATACAAGAGCCGAAGGAACTTCTCAAAATAAGAAGAATCAAAATAAAACAATACATATAAATTGGAATAACTATAAACGAAACAGCGATCATTACACATATTTGCCCATGTGCTATATCAAGTGTATTTTTGTGCTGTCATTGCGACTTTCATTGTGGTTTATTTTCTTGTGCTTTGTTATACGATCAATTGAAAACCAAATTAAAAATAATTAAATATTGCAATCGAAAAAGTGGTTCATAATACGTTATCAAAGACACATACATCTCTGTTTTAACTTGTGCCTTTGCTTGGAAGAATTATTGAGTATTCATTTCGTATCGCTGTGTACAACGGGAAAAGCGTGCCTTCTCCCCATAAATTATATATTTTATACTTGGAATAACAATATTTGTTTTCGATAATGTCTGCAGCTATTATACAGCAGAAGAGTACAAACAATTCTTCATTAATTTACTTTGAGTGCGGTGATATTTTTAAAGCGGTAAGTACCATAAATGTTAACCAGTATTTTTTATAACTTATATTTAAAGTTATATATAATGGAAAAAAAGTTAAGGTATATATATTTACATACATATGTATGTTACACGTTCTAATTAGAAACAATGGAAAACCAAATGAAGAACATTGTTTGGAGTTCGTTTATATCGTCTGCAGAGAGTATTTCAAATATATTAAAAAAATTATACAATTACAACATACTTTTACATGTGCATATAATGGCATGCTTACATTTTTTTTTTGTCTTTAAAGCTCTAACGTTAGCCATCGATTAATGAACAGAATTTGTTATTTCAACAATAATGCATTACTGATAAATCTCGTGAATAGTATATTAAAAGTATAGATGTTCAATGCATGCGGCTATGTGGTTTTTAGCTATTTATATAATTATAATATTTAGATTTATTTAAATTTTAATACGAGCACTGTCTTAAATCTTTACGTATTCTTTTACTCTGAGGAAACGTTTGTTATGAATATCTATCTAAAACAATATCGCTGTGTATCGCGTATCAATAATATATATAAGCGAGTAAAACCACAGTAAAATAATATACACGCTAGTTCATGAAAAGTAAAGCATTGATAATAGTGGAACGTATTTACATTTATTTATGATGGACACCAACAAAAAAATTGAGCAGATTAGACAAGCATACAAAACCGTGTGCGGCAGCCGGGACGTTCGAGTAGCTAAGAAAAAAATTAGACACAATAAGTATATTCCCAATAGAGTATTTATTTGCTGTTTCACTCTGATGCCTTCACATGGTGTGAATGTAGTTGAACGAACGATCATATCTTAAAACAAAAACTGATTTTTCACTAACTTCACAAACCTACCTACCTTAGTTCCTAAATTCATTTCGTCCTTTTTGTATATATACTATTTCATTGGACGTAAGAATTTTTTATGTTTAATCTTAAAGAGTTTGTCTAAGTACCTAAATACATCCACACATATGCAAGTGTGCACGTTAATTTTTTTAAATTGAGATAAGAAAAACCTAAATATACATATGAGCACTTTAATGGTATATGTACAAATTATTATTCTTGGATCTATCTGTATATAAGTATACACTGAAGGTTTACTGATCGTTATATGTACTATATATTCGCATACTCCTAGTTTACACACTCACTAAACTAACTATGACTTGATTTATAATACATTAGTACTATATGATTGTTTACTTGTACATATGTTTCTTTATGACATTACAATATAAGGTAGTGACGCATTTAGTACATTTCCATTTTATATGTACATAGATATACTTAGTAAACCTTACGTTTATACAATTTTAATAAATAATCTCCGTTTGAAAATAAAGTTATTCATTTAATGACTTGGTGTAAAATCCAATTTATTTTGATTAAATGTTGTGACTGCAGTTTACACCTGAACAATTACTTAAAGGCATTGAAAAATATTTAAATATAATTCATGTAAACGGTTTTAGTACGGTTAACAATATTGCGTACTGATATTTCGTTGCGGTCTTCAAAATGTTCAAGAAACTGGCTTTAAGAGGACATTTGCAGACCCAAAATTTGTTGTCGTGCAGTCGTCTTTATGTTCAAAGCATAAGACAAGCATTAGTATAGCCATGTCATAAGCAAACTAATGTATCAATAGCAAATTGCTTCGAAAGTCGAACATCGTACATGTTGGTATACGTATCGACATCTGACACGTTTCATACAATAATGCACATGTATAAATTTGTTTTTAAATACTTGAATGAATAAAGATGGGATTCCAACTCCTAAGCACTGCTGAAAGAAATGGGGGAAAGGTATATGCTGCTTTCATGTATAATATACTACTACATATTTACATTTGATATAAATGTTTGTACAAACCAAACGATCGCATATTTATTGTAGAAGATTTCACAAAACTTTCGGGCTTAGAAATGTTTTTTGTTAAATATTCTCTTATTAGTTTGATCTAGTGTGTTTAAAGTGAATAAAGGCAAAAATTAATTAACAATCCTTATAGTAAGTTTAGCCGGGATGTAAGAGTGGAGGCCACTTCAGTTGGACTTTTTAAACATTGGCATATGTATTTCCTACCTTGATTAATATTTTGATACATAATTTTCTATATTTTGAAGTGGTAATGTTGTGGAAGGGTACACACAAGCGGGTTATACAATAAATTCATTCATATATACATTTTAATATAATGGAGAAATATAATATAATATTTTTTTGTTTTTTAATTGTAATTGAATCGATTGTATAAATATTGGAAACTCGAATTATATTTATGTTAAGTTGTGTGCATTAATGCCTAAGAAAAGCTGAGTTAATGGAAAAACTAACTCTCGTTTTCGGTTCTGTAGACAAAAATTAAAATTTTTTTAATGGAACTTAAAATTTAAAATTAGCATATTCAAGATTTCTATAAGATGTCTTATAACAATATGTTTAATGTAGTTTTTCAGATGAACTAAGAATTAAATATTGCTGAGGGCTTAGCAAAACTTTAGAGAGCATCACAGATTCGTTTTTAATTTTTTTCTGTTCCATATTTTAGTAGTAATTTATAACTACCAAACTTTGATTAAAGTGGAGGATATGGTGTTAATATTGTGTTTTTGAGGCAAGCAAGTGATAATAAGATAAAGATGAACAAAAATAAAATTATTGCTTCAATTATTTTAAAGATTTAAGTAACATACAATACAAGTAATCCATCATCTCTGCAAACAAAAATAAAGCGACAAAAAAATTCATGCATTGCTATTAACCATCTAATTTCTAGTGGAAAATATTTTAATTATTTACGATTGATTTATGCAAGCTTTTTTAGGACTCTATATAGAAAACGTAAAATATAAAAGGATATATGGGAGATACATTTCGGATAATTGAAATTAATATGGCTCCTTACAAGGTACTTCAGCTAACTTGTTTGGCGTTTTGCACTTATTCAGCTCATTACAAATACTGTTGGTTACCCAAAAACTAAAGCTATCAAAATGTAAGTAGTTTTTGAGTGGACAATTCCCAAATTTATTTACATATGTTCATATATGAGTATGTATGTGTATAAAAAATTAAACTATCGCATTTAAATACACCGTCACCATATTGAAACACAGATAAGGGCTTATGAACTCCTCTGAATACTAAAATTTTCACTACATAGTAATGACTGAATCGACCTAGACCTCAATCACTGTATGTTATGTAAATTGTGCCACTCTTTTGCTATGCCATAGTTTAAATACCTCATGGTTACCTAATGGTGGGTATATAAATCGTAATATTTTTCTTGTTTCTTTTGATACTTTTCCGAAGTCATCGTCAATACAAAACCGGTATTTGAAATCAGAGACAGTGTGCGAGTATAATCAAAAGTACCAACAAATTTAAGGGATTGAACCTTTAGATACAACGTAGACAATCATGCCATGCCATTATTGAATACGTGTATGTATGTCTATGTATAACATAAAATTTGCCTCTTAATTGGGTTCACAAACTTGAAATTAATTCAAGCAAAACCCTTATATGTCCAAAAATAGTTATGTTTTCCACGAAATTCAACTGGACAATGGATTTGGAATTTATTTTTCAAGTAAACTATTAGTATGTACTATATATGAATATAATATATAGAAATGGTTTCAGAATTTACCCAGCTTCAAAAAATGAATGTATAAAATTTATATACAAAAATATTATAAATTTCCATCTAAAATTGGGGTATTATAAAGTTAAATATGATGTATTAATCATTATACATTTATGATATTTACTTATTATAACCACTTTGACGCTTAAGGATCGTTATTAACATGATAAGCCTGGTCAAATACCACAAATTTTATATCGAAATAAAATTGCAATCCCAACTTAAAATTCACACAGTTCAAAACCATGCTTATAGCCTCACGAGGTAATTCAAAACACAGTTTGCCTTTGAAAAATGATAAACAATCGTTGAAAATCTCTTTTAGGGGCCTAAGATATCTTAAGTATGGTATATACACACCTGCTCAAAATAATAGTTACCCAATATTTTTTCAAGTTAAGCTCATGAATAAAAAGCTTTATTTAAATTTTTAAGAAAAACGCAAACGTACTTATATTTTTCAAATATTTACATACAAGCTTATTTAAATAAACTTCAAGAAAAGCAAAACGAAGAAATGTATGTAGATCCAAAAACATTCACTTCAAAACGTTAACATTTCTATCTTCAAGATATTTCTTTAACCAGTTTGGAGGTATGTATTGAGCCATTATCTTGGTGAAATACGCAACGTAATGGTAAGTTTTCTTCAGCATAGGGTATTATGACATTTTCAAGTATTTCCTTGTACTCCGACGCTGTCATTTTGTTAGTTGTAAGTTATATAGGACCTACTCCATACCAAGAAACACATCCACCTCCATGCTTCACAGTTCTTTTTGTGAATCTCCTTTCCTTTTGGACGACGCACATTTCTCTCACAATTGTTTCCAAACAAATTTACTTTCGTTTCATCGCTCCATAATATGTTTCTCCACTTTTTTGTTCCCTCAGGTCCTGACCAATCTAAATGACTTCTTGCAAAATTTAACCTCATATCTAAATTTTTTGATCCCATTAATGGAACTTTCCTGGCTATACGACCTAGTAGCTTAGCCTTTTGCAAACGCCTGCGAACTGTTTGGGCACTTACTACATTTCCAATTTCTGCTGCTATCACCTTCGACGACTTGAATGGATCCTTTTTACAAAGAGGTGCGATCAATTTTAACAAAATTATGACAGCTTTCCATTAATTTCCCCAATTTTCCGAAGCGATTTTCCTTACTTTCTGAGGTTTGAAACCAGCCGGGCTTCTTCCACAGCGCAATGTGACTTCCGACCCATCTAATTAAAAAATAATTTAATTTTACTAAAAAAACTTGAAAAACTGGATAAAATTAATTTTGTTTTCACAAAAAGTTAAGTTCACTTATGAGTAACTA